CGAAGCGCAACACGATAATATTAAGTTCTTTTGATATATTGAATATAAGTGACTCTATTTTAAAGTTATATAACATTGATGGATTAAAAATAAAGGACAATCAATCCAAAAATGAACTGCTATACTAATAGACTCTGATATTTTCTATTAATAGAAGATTATATGGCTGATTACAGCAAAAGAAATTTTCTTAATCCTCTTACATACTTAAATAAATAAACCAACCTCCTATTAAATTAATTGATAATTAATAAAGGGATTAAAGATTTTAATAAGACTTTTCAATTCCTATTGACAACATATATATCCTTCTTCTACGTCTCTTCTAAATGCTGTTAGAATAAAAGTAGAAGAAGTATTAATGTAATAACACAACACCAAGCTACTTTCACGGAGGATTCATGGAATAAAGGAAATTCACAATTGCTAAATTATAACAAGAACACATATCAAATAACAATGCTCTTAAGTGCTTAAATTAACTTTATAGAAGTTAATAATATAAGTAATGAGGAATTGGATGAGGAGGATCTCTTTTAAAAACAGTAAAATTCTCTTTAATAATTCAAACACATAACTTAGGCAAACAATAATTTTATCATTGTTGCAATTAAACATTATTATTCTGACCTAGGCTTAAAAACAAATTTAAGGATTAAAAACAATAGTAATTAAAATAAAAGTTTGATAAAATTCTTTGGATCGACTTTAACATCCATTTTATTATGATCGATTATCATATTGTTAGATTTATTTTTTTTTTTGTTTCAAAAGAAGTGATTTAATTCCTCATCAAAGTGATTTCTATACATTCTAGATATGCTAGCCTTTTTTATTAGGATTTATTTAACAAACTACCTTATGATAAAGTTATTACTTTAAACCTAAGTTAGATATTACACAAATTCAATATAATTAAACAAATTTTAATTTAAAGTTATCATTGTTATAATCTTGTCTATTAAGTAATAAATTAATAAGGAAATGAATTAAGCAAATATGAAATCATTTTATAATAATTATTTATTTCATACAAAGTTACTCTTTGTATTATCAAATTTACATCTCTTTCGAATACCTATCCCATAAGATTAAATATCTAAACTTAATTGGTGACTAAAGAATTTCATTGCTATAATCAATAACTTACTCTAGTTAATAATTGCAGTCTTAAGGTGTTACTGAATTAGAGAATCTTATCAAATTCACAGTTTAGCGATTTATAGTCATAATTATTTATGTCAATGGGATGTAAGTTTGTGGAAATATTTGTGACACCTTTATCCTTCTCCTCTTATTGATAGTCATTTGGATTTAACATACTCTATTGAATTAGAGTTCCAAGAATATACAAGAAGATTTTAAGAAGCCTTTTACTTTATGATTATGAAGTATCAAAGGTTAAACGACAAACATCTAATTATTAATGAAGCTTGGTTTAAATCAAATAGATTTTTAAATTTCTACTGAATTTTGAGTATTTATTATCATCTTTTTACATAACTAAAATCAATCCATCTCTACCAAAGGATAGTAAATAATTGGCTTCTTAATAATTGATAGACCATAAATTTAATGAGTATGTTCTATTATTGTCTACCAACAACTCCAATCAAATAAGGATATTGTTTAGATGTTTTAATACCAGAATTTCATTTATGTATCCTTAGAGCCCCTTATAAAAACTTATTCTGAATTCTAAGATATCACTAAACATGTAATTTGAAAAGAATGGTTCTTTAATTTTGCTAAATGCTTTGGATTTGATAGAAGAGTTGTCGACCAGATTATGATAGAATTATCTGCTGAGCCAGAGAAGCATTAATTTTTGATTTTAAAGAAATTTAGAGTAGTAAATTGATCACTATGTTTCTTTAGGTTTGGATATTAAATAATTAACCTTACTTGACTTAGATGACTATGATATCATTTATTGATGCTGCTAAAACAAGAGTATTGGTAAAGTTTATTGCAAAGGCATACAAAATTCCACCTTAATTTCACTTGTTTAAGTGAAAGGTACAAAAATAAAGAGATTGAAATTATAATTAGTTTTTGATTCGTTGACCACATTGAATCAATTATAGAATATTCAAATGATGTCATGGTTTCAATAATAAATACAAATCATATAAATATTATTTATAATTTATCATAATTTATATTCATTCTTCTTTGCTTTATAATCCATTCCATTCTATTTTAAATATGATATTCCCTTTTAATAAACCAATTACCATGATTTTTTATATTGACTAAAATAATTCTCTAAGTATAATAACACCAGAAAAGTAAACCAAACATCATCTTTCAGATTTTAATGATTTTAAAGATTCTTAAAATTAATTTTTGATTTAACTTCTTTATTAATTATAAAACAACCATTTGCTTAAGCAAATTAAATTAATGTTTCATAAGTAAACTTATCACTATCTGACTTGTCTATGCTTTAATCTGTTTACTTTTTTAAAGGCTGAGTTTAGAGAGCATATTTTTAAGGTGAGGGAGATGTATTAAAGTTGGAATACGATTTTGAAGAACCTCCTGTGCTACAGCACCCTGAAGATTTATATTGACTAGAAGCTTGTTGAAGTTATATATTGCATCTGCTTTAATAACCACTACATGCGTATAATTATGCTGGTTATCTTGCTTGTTTAGGTTGAACTACAGATACTCTTTATTTAATCTATTATTAAAATTAATCTTCTAAATCACAAACTTCACATATAAATGCCGTTCTTGAACATAAAATCTAATTTTAAACAGATAAAGCAATTATATCTTATGAATCAATTTTATTTTTATTGAGCTTTATAAAATTCACATTATTTTGTCCATATTTTATGGAGTTTTCATAATAGGTAATAAATTTGTAGGCTGCCAATTTATGAAAATATTCATTATCTTAAGATTCATTCAAATTTAACTTTACAGAATATGAAATCTATTGATTATTTTATGGATCATAACATCTGATCTTAAACTCTAGAACTTCTGGTTTTTATTAATTTGGAAAAAGTATTTAGAATGTGAGTTCTTAATTTTTTTTCAAACTAACAATTGAGTCTGGATTAGGAATAATCGAGGTTATATTAGGGATATTAGATTCTAGAGTAAATGCTTCCAGATATGGAGTTAAGGAATCTTCCAATAGATCAATTACTTTTTCATTTATATCCTCCTTATCACTAACAATTTAATACTTACCATTTCCAACTTCAGCAACTCTTCTGATCAAGTATTAGCTACATTCTCTACCAATTCCTAAAGTATAGATTCTAGTTTACGCTAGGTTATTTTTCTGAACCAAATCAATAATAGGATCAGCAGTATCCTGCCCATCAGTAAGCAAAAACACATTCAGAGTTGTGTTTTTGGAAGCTCCATAATTTTTATGATATATCATCTACTTTAACGGAGCAATAATACATGTTCCTCCCATATCGGCATCCATTTCTTCAACATGTTTAATCGCTGTTTCTAATGTATTTTATGAATAGTTTTGGGATACATTCCACAATTTTGTAAAATTGGTACCAAATGAAATAATGTTATACTCTGAATCCTAAGGCAAACTTTTTAGAAACAGAATTAAAGCTTCTTTAGCTTTTTTGATTCTTGATCCACTCATGGATCCACTTCGATCAATAATAAATAAGTAATTACCTCTTTTAATTTTTTGATTATCTGCTATAATTAATCCATCTAAATATTGTGAATAAGCATCATCTAAAGAAACTTCATTAAATTTTGGAATGAATGTTAAGGTAGCACAATATTTTTAATATTGTAAGGCATCGTTCTTTGTATGACTTAGAATGGCTCTCGGTAGATTGATTTCATCTGAAGAAAAAAGTAAGGTAAATTATTTACTGGGGTCGTAGTTATTAGGAATATCTTCTAGCAAGAGAACTAAATGCTAATTATTTACTTTTGCGTTATTTTTAGCATTCGTTGATTCAAGTTTATGAGTAGGGGATTTCCAAAATGTAATAGGTGATCCAAAATCTATTTCCACTTAAATTTCTTATTTAAATGTAAACTAGAAATCTTTAATCCTAAATAATCCATCTAGATATTCATAAATCTACTCATCATAAATACCAATCATTTATGCTTTATTTTCCTATACATAATTTTAATCAAAAATTGGAAATAGTTCGAATTTCCAAAATTTATTTAGAAATACCTCTAAGGGTTGTATATACTCAAAAGTAATCTTCAATTTCTTTTTTGGTGCAAGCTATCCAACTTTTACTCGTTTTATCTAAGGATACTTTGGATCCGACTCACTATATGCCATAGTTTTTCCTTGTTTTAGACCTTTTTCATACTCTTACTTCGCTTCTTCCTTTTCCTTTACTATACCGTAAACTTTAGTTTTGTCTAGTTTTACGATCATTTTAGTAACAGCAGCATTTTCATTAATCGAAAAAACATATTCCAGATCCATGGGCTCATTCTGTTTATCAGTTGAATATTTTAATTCTAATTGTACAATACACAAACCAGGTAATATTTTGGATGAATACTTTGCGAATGATAATGGTATCAATCTTTCATTTGTCAAGTCATAACAAACAAAAATGTTGGAGTTTTTGCAGCAACCATCTATGATCCAATTAGATCTTCCAAACATCTTAAATAATCTAAGGTTTATATAACTTTTTCTACTTCATTTCTATTT